TACAAGGCTTGCTCTGAAAGATAACACGTAAGGTTACTTCACGTTCCGGCAAAACCTTCCTTCTCCTTCCCCATCCAGCACCATGTGTTTGCACATAAGTGTGCACACAGCACACTCCAAAATGTTGACACACTTCAGCCCAAAGGTGCTCTTTTCTCTACGGTTCCCACTAATCCTGGAAGCAGCACTGACAAAAAGGAACCACTCTAATCCTGCTAACTCACCCTAGCTTCACTGCATTTCCCATAACCCTGCAGCAGTCACAATTCATTCTAATCACTTTACAAAACAATCTTTAGTAAAAAGAGGAAAAATGCAGACTTGTAAGCCAATTTAAGAAATAACTGCTGATACATCAGTTATTGACTATTTCACTCCTGCTCATGATAGTGCTCAAGGCAAAACTGAGAACAAAATGACAACATCAACCGCACGCAATAAACTGTGGCCCAGGAGAGCACTGAAGCCCTAATTGACAGCTGTCAAGCTAATGGGAGAAATGGCAGCTGATTCTGGAAAATTCTGTTTTCCAGACGGATATTCAGTGGAATCTATCAGGCCTTTTTATATTTATGCCCCTTTCTCTTTTTTTTTTTTTTTTTTTTTTTTTTTGCATTGTTCCTCACACTTTGCTGAAAAAAAAAAAAAAGAAGCAGAGGACAGCCATAACTAATCATTTTGTCAGCTTGCTGCTAGGAAGAATCTCTGTCCAACAGAGAAATATGTGGCAGGTTTGGAGGCAAATAACGCACCAAGGGCTGACGCTGCAAGTACCTTTATAGGTAGTCTACTTTATCGCTACATTTACTTTTGGGGTATGTATGTAGTGGCAAGCAATTCCCATAAATTAGAGAAAGCATTCAACTTCCTGAACTCGGAGCTGCCTGGAAATGTGGCTGCACAACCTTCGTGCCAGCTCACAACTGTACTCCTGCAGCGCTCTCCCGGCCTGGCTTTGGAGGCGCTGATAAACTGCGAGGAGCCCTGAAGTCTGCGAGAAGTGGCAGCGCTCCGCAGCTCTCAGAAAGCGCTGCCATGGATTCCGCTGCTCACCCCGACCGCCTGCGCCCTGTGGACGTAAGCACTGAAGTTGGCAGCAGCCTAAGAAGCGCGCACGTATCTCTAAGGTTTAAACCAGGCTGTGTTTAAAAAGGAAAAAAAAAAAAAAAAAGTTTGTTTGTTTTTCCAGAGGGTTGAAACTCAGTGTCATTGTCTGGGCCTAAAAAGCTATAATTGTTTCATTCAAAAAAAAAATAAAAGTCCGTTTCCAACAAATCGTTAGTTTCCAGTCCCCCTTCAAAAGAGCTTAATATGTATACAGAATATGTATTAAGTCATTTCTGTCAATAGGAAGTACATTTTCTTGATCTTTTAAATAGATAGGTTTCTAAAAAAGCTATGAGTGAAAGCTATAATTTAAGGGCAGATAATTACTATTTGCACGAACGAGACTAGCCTCTATTAATGCAGTACCTTAGCTTTTCTAGCCAATCGTCTCTAACTAATAAATATTTTCTTCCTTCTGCCTTAAATGACAGCAGCCATCGGAGCAGCAATTCTGATCGCTCCCTCACTTTACCAGGTGTGGAAGAGCACTGCGACACCTGACTTCCCCCCCAAATTTATCTACCATATTCACCTGAGCCTCAGAGCAAACAAACTGAAATTATCATTTTTACAGATTCTTGATTCTCAGAGACAGCTTTAGTCTTCTACAGTGTGGTGTTAACACTTGGGCTAGACATAAAGAATTTGTGCACCTGTCTGTTATGTCTGCAAGCTCTGTGCTGCTGAGAGTTCTTTGTTGTTGTTATTCTACTCCAGACCATTAAAAGGGCCCTAATTCCTATGACATGATTATCCAGGTACCAAAGCCCATTTGTCACCTGCAGCAGAAAATTGAGTTAATGCACAACTAAAGGCAACCAGGACTGTGTAATATCAACTTGATTACATCAAACTAGCTGCAAACCTAATTCTGCTGGATGACACTGCGTGGAGCTTGTCATCTCCAATCATTAAAGCTGTCAGGAATCCATCAGGTTTACAGCTAATTAGGTGAACACTAATGAAGCTGGCAAAACAACTTTTCTTTTTTTATGGCTGAGCGGACCTTTCAGTTTGGAGAAAAAAAATTCTCGAGTATTCTCAAGGTTGCTGGGGACTGGATTTCCTGAGTTACCAATCAGCAGACATCTTTAATTCTCCCCCCTCCACCACCTTTTTTTCTCTCTCAGTACCAAGCAATCAATTTGTCATCACTCTCAGTATGCCACAAAAGCAGTCATGAACCTTATAACTCGCAGTTCTGAAGCCAAAAGAAGGGGGAAAAAAAAAAGTAAGTTTCTTCTGTCTTAAAATAAAACCCCTCGTACAGCTCACTTATTTATCTTCATGCACTTATCAACAGCATAAATGTTCTTGTTTTTTCACTCTTCTCAAATAAGTAGCCCTTCAGTCATTCTACATCCCCCATATCCATTAGGCAGAGGCATTTTGATAAAGTAAAGCCAAAGCTAGTGTATGGGAAAGAATGAAAGCACTCACTCTGCCAACTTCTGATTGACCATTAAGCTATTGATGAATGTGCCTGTCAGGAGAGAGACAATTAAATCAAATATGAAACAAAGTCGTTTTGACGGGTCATTTTGATAGAGCAAAACCATTCTTCCATCTCCTATTAGTCCTGCAGTCAAGTTTTTGTAATGAATATTTCTTAACTAACCTGTTATTTCTTTGCTGTTTTTAACGTGTTGGGGAAAAAAAAAAGAAAGAAGGAAAAAAAAAAGCAGCAGCAGCTTTTGCTGCTATTAGAAAAAGTAACATTTCCAATGTGACCAATAAAGCAGCATTTCAGTGGGAAGCAATTATACACAATACTAAATGTTTAATGTTGCTATCAAAAAGCTAAAAGTTTAAAGAGATTACACTTCTGCTAAATATGAAAGATCACATATCATGGATGATTCACTTGAGAAAGGAGGAAGAGACGGGAAGTGGAAGAGAGAGGAATAAAGGTACCTCGGAATGCTTCTGTAGTGCAGAAGCATTTTCTCCCAGCCTACAGAAAGCCCAATGTAAAGCACCACCGTTTGGAGAACAAGCCAAGCATTTGGAAGAGCTAGAATTCACAGAATCAAACTAACGTTACAAAACAGAAATTTCCAAATACTAGAAAAAGTTCACCTTTTTAATTAATTGGACAAGCGTCACTCTGACACGGTTGAGAAATTAAAAACATTGAGCACTTGGCTAAGATATTATTTGCTAGATCGTGTCACTATCGGACTTGCAAACTTCAGAAACTTTCTAACTGTTAGTACAGGGAACTGGGCTGCCAGAAAGCACCCTTTTCTATGCTAGAAGTACCAGATGAAGAAGGTACTCCAGAGAAGAGAAGAAGGGAAGTCAGGACAGCCACTCACAGTTTGGGGTGCTCCTTGCCTCTCTCGCTGCTTACTGAACTCAGAGAGCACCGCTCACAGAACTTGTCAGCAGCCCTGCCGTGCTTCCCAGCACACCGCTCCAAGAACAGCCCACTCCTGGAGCTCCGGGCTGCATGGCTCCCTGCCTGAGGAGGCCACAAGCCCAGCTACAGCCACACCAGTGCCACCGTGGCCATCAGACCCCAGCACCAGACACCTACGTGGCCAGGCTCCAGGTGCAGGTACGGTGTCACCTGCGGTCCCCAGGCCTGGCAAGCTGTCCTGACGGTGTGGCACGGCCGCCACGAGTTGCACTGACAGGGAGCTGACAGGCCACGTGTGACGTCACCCAGCCTGGCGTTACCATGGCAAGTGATTTATTGATGTTTATCGGGAATGAATAGATCAAAGGCAGCCAGATGACAGGCGATCAATCAGCCATCAAATCAAGGATGGCAACAGGCCAAGGAAACCTTTTCCAGCCCACATATCCCCAGCTAAGGATTACTGTAAAATTATGTTTGTTTGTTTGGTTTTTTTTTTTTACTCTTTTCAATTCAGCTTTTCCAGAAAACGTTCCATAAGTTTAACAGGAGTTGACAGTTCTGGCAGAAGGAAAGCAAAACAAACTAACAAAAAGCCTCATCAGGACAAAGCCCTAAAAAGTATTTCTGAAAAAAAAAAAAAGAAAAAAAAAAAACCAAAAAACCCCACAACCAAGAAATGGAGGAAGTTGTAAAAGCACTATCAGAAACACTCGCCAGTCATTTGACAATGCACAGATTCCCCCCCCCCCCCCCTTTTTTTTTTTTTTTTTTTTTTTCCTTTGGTTTCCTTTGCAGCCTCTCATCTGGGCTCGTAAAGAAGGAATCACTGAGATTAGCAGAGGAGCGCCCAAGGACGCGGCCGGCCCATGGCTGTGGCTGTCCGGCCCGCAGCTGCAGAGCAGCACCAGAGACAGGAGCAGAGCGTAAAAGTTGGGCGGAGGACCCCACTCAGGGCGCGGAGCTCCAACTCACACCGCGGGGCTCCCGAACCACCTCGTCTCTACTGCTTCATTCACACAAGCCGTGCAGTTATACACATCCTACCTTAATTTACAGAAAAATAAAATAAAACAGAGTATTTTGGCTGCCTTTCGCAAATCATTTGTCTGAGAGAGAAGGGGATGAAGAAGAATGGAAGCAAAGTAGGTGCCAAAGTACGGGCTGGAAGCGGACAGCACCGGGCTCCTTCTCCCAGCGCCGGCAGCCAGACATCCCTACGCGTGCACAGCCCTGCCCGCACCGCGGGCTGCCGGCACCCGGCGGGCAGAGTTGGGGACGCAGCGAAGTGGGTACCAAAGTAGGGACAGTGCTTCCACGCGCTCCCACCCCTGCAGCCCCAAGGCAAAAAAAAAAAAAAAAAAGAAAATACCCTCCCCTCCCCACCCCCCCTCCGCCGCCGAGCCGTCAGACCGAGAGTTCCTCCGCAAAGCCGGGCGTGCAGCGTGCGAACGGGGCCGCGGCGGGGACGGAGGGGAGAAGCGAGCGGAGACGGCGGCTCCGTACCGTACCGCACCGCACCGTTCCGTACCTGCTGCGCGCCGGGGCGCCTGCTGCTTCCTCCTCGGCATGCTGCGGGCGGCGGGGGGGGCTGCCTCGGCGCGGGGGTGGGAAGAGTTGCTTTAGCCCCAGAGATCCGCTGCGCTGCTCCAGTCTCGGCTCGAGGGCTGGGTCGGGGATATATTTTTTGTTGCTGTGCATGCACGATGCCGAGGAGGAGGAGGAGGAGGCGGCGGCGGAGGAGGAGGAGGCGGCACAGAGGAGAGGACAGCCCTGCTGCTGCTGCTGCTGCTGCTGGCAGAAGAGGGGGGAAGTTTGACAAATCGCCCCGGAGGAAGGAGGAGGGGAAGCCCCCCGAAGAGGTGCGCGGGCGGGAGGGCCGGGGAGAGCCCGCGGCGCCGCACCCCGCCCCGCGCCCTCCGCCTGCCCCGGCGCGGGGCTGCTCACGGCATGGGGCCGGCAGCGCCGGGCGGCACTCGGAGAGCTGCAGCCGGCGCTCGGCGCTCCGCGGCTCCGGGCTCGGCGCTGGAAGAGCGGCGGCGGCAACAGGCGCAGCTTGAAGGGAAACGAGACGATCGCAGCGTCACTCAAACATCCCGCCCGAGGGACGCGGCGCCGCGCTCCCGCAACTCCCGGCGCGGCGCGGACCCCCCCTCCGCCGCCCAACTTCGCCGCCGCTCCGCTCGGCGCCGCCCCCCCGCTCCGCACACGCCCGCCGCGTTCCCCTCGGCCCGGCCCCCCCGCCCCGACCCCGCCAGGTGACGGGAGGCGGCCCCGCACCTCGGCCCGGCCCCGCTCCGGGACCGCGGCTCCCACCTGGCTGGCGCCTGCGGGCGGGGCGGGGTGGGCGCGGGGCGCTGCGGCCGTCAACGGCAGCGCCTTCAGCCGCGGGGCGGCAGCGGGCAGCGCCCTCACACCGCTCCGCGGGGCGCCCGCGCGCAGGCCGCCTTCTTCTTTTCTCTCTCTTTTCGGAGC